CACCTACTATCTCCCCAATCCCCATTCACCAAATTTCTTCCTCCTCACCCCTACCCCTCCATCTCCCCTTCTTTGGTCGTCAAGATCGTTATCAAACAATCGCTAATTCAATATCGAAAAGGGTAGCTGCATATGACTTTGACGGCGTTGCTAGCTAAAAGAAAGAGGATGGGGGCGGGAGGAGAGTGTCTATAACACATGAACGCAAAGACGGAAAAGATCTACAGCCGAAAACATTTCTCTTGCTATTAGGAAAAAGTTCTATCAAGGCAGACACAACCTCTTTCGACCAAACACCTCTCTCGACGACCAAGTCCGACCCCCTCCCTCTAGTGAATTCTCCCAACGATGCTGTAGCCTGCCTGCGAACTGAAGGGCAACCAGCGTGGAATGGGATAGTGACTTTATCCACTTGTTCAACTTTGTTCATTATATTTGTTTCTGCTTTGTTAGTTTGTTTTAATTTTTTGGAATTCTCGGGATTTTTTCTGATTTCGGGATTATTGTAGATTTATGGAACGAACGAAATTTATCGAGATCCACGACAACAGCGATTGAATGAGCTACAGGTTTGTGACTGAAAGTGCGTTCGGGTAGAGCAGTGTGGCGGCATGACCGTGGCAAGGGGAGACGGGCAAGAGAATCTGATTTGCCGCTCTGCCGCGTGCAGCTACGTGAGCGGCGTTTTCTTAACTCATGCTAGCCTATTGGTGGGAGCACCGGATTTCGAGTGGGCTACGAATGTAGACATTTATGCTTATTTTCGGTTCTGTTGCCTATTGTCGCCATCTACGACCTGGAACCATCGTCATTTGCGGGCGCGACGTCGCACGCGACGCCCATCAGCGCGGCGAATTACGATTCTCTTGTCACATAACCCGTGCCAAGTCAGCTTATCTTTTGGTCTTACTCTTTTGAAGCATGGGATATCCTCGCCCATGACACGCCGTACGATAGGGATCCTTACCGGGGATCGTGCTTAGTTGCTGAAGGGACCTGGTCGTTTTGGGCCTGGGGATTTTTTCTGATTGTTGAGTTCTCCCGTTCCTGCGTACTATACCTCCCCTCTTCCCCCTAGTCGGCTTTGCTGCAAGAACAAGTAGTTTCTGACGGTGAATCAGAGGTGTCCTCTCCCCAACCGCTCCCGTTCGAACGGAAATTTTTTAGGAAACTTCAGTAAGATGATCGGTCAGTTGTGAGTGTGGGAGGGGGGGGGGTCATGAAGGACCGGAGGAGAGACCTTAGTAGATCGTAATTTGGAGCGGTCCTAGCTGCGCTCTTTCCTGTTTAATAAGAGGGTTCTAAAGAAGCAGACTTGAGGTGGTTACTCGCGCCACGCTAGCACCCGAACTACCTTTAGCCCCTTTCTCTACCACTACTGGGATTCAGAATTGATTTTTATTGATAATTGTTTAGGAACGACAGGAAACTCGAGTGCCTGATGGCTTGGGATTCCGGGACAAGATGCGTATGTTTGCGACGCAACTCGGCGAAGGAACACCAAAGTCCCGTTATAGCGCCAGTAGTGCTGAACGACAGATTCAAAGCGAACAGTAGCTGCTCTACACTTCTCACCCTAATAATCTATTTTATAGCTCTGTGCCTAGTGCCAATCTGTAGGCTATTCCACTCAGAGGTCGCGCGCGCCAAAAATTGTTTCGGCGTTGAGTTGATGCTTGAACCGCGACGCATCCGCTCGCGTGGCTTAACGTTTGGTACGCGATAGCACCGCGACGACTTGGCTAGTGGAATAGACTGCAGCAGATGTTTGTAAATTTTTCATATTTTTTCGAACGCGGAGTTTTTATGAGGTTACTTAATGACGTCACTTTGACGGTGCCTTTTCTAGCTGTACAGTTTAATGCCTAGGAATGTTCAGAAAGAGAATTTTGTATTCTTCAAAGCGACTTACTTTATTGCTGAATAATATTTTATTATAATGTATTTAATCGATTACGTGCAATGTGTACTGGCTTCTAACTAGATTTTATTCGGCATTAACATTTTTGTGAATTAAGAACCATTAATTTTTTGTGTATTTGCCTTTTGACAGGTCACTCGTTGTTGCGCTCACTCAAATAAATCCGCCTTGATGATAAGCCTTTTATTATTCGTATTGATACCCAAGGAGTTTATCCGCGGAGATTTTACATAAATGACCAATGAGGCGCCCGGTGACCGCCCACTTGGAGGGCGGAGCTTCCAGTCCACTTGATGGGCGGCACTTCGACTCGTCATTGGTCAAGTGCTCTCTTGATATTTTCTAGAATAGCGGATGAATCTCTTGCATGTCGTCCATTTTTGAGGTTACCTAAGTTGTTTGCTCTGCTGATCGATCGATAAATCAATGGCCACTGTATTGCCTTAATGCGCTTAACCTCTACATAGTTCCCTACTCACTGCTTATATGTCACGATGTACAACTACTGTCGTCATATTTTGTAGAGTACGATAGTCCTTTTGTACCATATTCAGATTACGGTGGCAGTACGTCCAGTACTATTTCCGTTTTGGTGTTGTAAACTTAGAATTCGTATTATATTTATGATGACGATGATGATGATAACGATAAATGAAAACAAATGCTTTTGGTGTTTGGAGAGAACTGGATGAACTAAATGTTGCCTGAAACAGTGTTCATACTTCGCGAATGCTACGAATTGCGCTCTACCGCTAATGGTTGGACCGCTGTTGTGACGGAGCAAATATCATCGATCAATTGGTTGGGCATTATTGACCCTTTAATCGCATTTAGTTCTCGAAGCTTGAGGTTGAAACTCTGTTTCGAAGTTGTCCTGGAGGGGCAGTTTGACCCCAGAACACGATTATCGCATCCGTTCGGCACGAAACCGCGTGCACAGAGGGCGCCGGCGCCGGAATAGCCCACCCGAAATCACCAAGTTCGTTGAAAACTGTTGTCAAGCGAAGTTTGTCCCGGGAAACAATATCTTGTCCACACGGGTGCCTATGGGGTCAGGGGCTGCTTCTGCTCGTCTGAACCCTTTCCAGGAGTGATCCATTCCTCTACTAAGGATGAGCCCTTAGCAAAGAGGAGGGCCACTGTAACATTGGTGCTGAACGTTTTCGCGCTCACAGATGTGATATTTAGTGTTTTATACGAGGGGTTCGAACTATCCTGACGACAACTTTCAGCCAATTTACATTTAAGAACTATTCTTGAAGGCCACTCGTGACACCCGGCATCAGACGATTCCCGCCAAACGGGTTGTGTATTTGCGCCGTTCAGGAGGTTCGAGCCCCACCTGGCGGCGATTTTCCAAGCCAAATCTCTTTCTGAGTGGAGGAGTCGGGACAAAACTGCGACCTGATGGTGGACAGTGTCATTACTTTGCAACGCGGCTAGGACCTATGATGTTCTCAGTCGTAGTCTCCTTACAAGTTCATAGTTTATAGTTCATAGTTTCAGAGCTTTCATGGCGCAATTAAGAATCGCCAAGCAGGCGTTCATGACTTCTACCAAGCGTTTGGCGTAACTGCCAGCACTCCTGGGCGACTAGCCCGCGAAAGATCAATAACCTCGATTGATACCATTATACCTCTACCGACGGGGGCATTTTGCACTTTTGATACTTCCCATTGACGTATCGACCCATCTAGACAGCCTCTCAACAGGTTTTACCATGATGGTTTGACGAGCTTGCTCTAGCTTACAAGAGTTCACAGGTTTCACCAGAGTGAGACTTGTAAACCAGAACCAGTGAAGCAACGAAAGTGCAAAATTCTCCCCCCCCCCGTCCCTTTTATGGAGCGTTCATCGTCTTTTTTTAGTTGATGAACAAATTATCAATTACCCTATTGTTTCTTAAATCTCTCATCTACAACTTGCGGTGGCGGACTAACCTGTCAGCCCTCAAGTGTACTTGTGTGAAAGCGCAGTTAATTTCGTTGGTACTCGTGCAAGAAGTGATAGAAATTTATTGGCAGCTCATATGTTATCACTGACCCGATCCCGTTTGTGTGCAGCTCAACCGGTTATACGGTAGTCTCCGGCGTTGAGGTGAGTTTGTAGCGTCGAAATCGCAATGTGACACCGTCATCGCTTTGTGTGGCACCTTCATAGCTTGACTGTGTCATCGTGGGTGGTGTTTGTGGTGTCGCAGGAGTTTTCTCCCCCGTGACAACACGCCCGTTTGTCTGAGGACGAGCGTCCTCATGTCGAACGTTTTCGGCCGACTTCGTTACGGCAAAACGAATGTTCTTCGAGTTGGCGGTATCCTTTCGTGGTTTGTCGAAACGTCTTTCGGGATGTCGTAGGCAGTAGTTCTGCTGCCGAGGCGACGGAGGCAGATCAGACCACCTAAAGAACTGAAATGAGATTGGACTTTGATCGGCTGACAGTAAGGTTCATTTCTAGTCACTAGAATGAGATCAACCGTTACAATGTAGTACTGACTGCGGAAGATAAACTAGATAACACGAAATGCGGTTCCGATTTGGAAGGGGGATGATTTCTGACATTATATACCATTTTCACTTTAAATTCACCCTTTTTCAAACCAAATTCACCCTTTTTCAAACCAAATTCACCCTTTTTCAAACCAAATTCACCCTTTTTCAAACAAATTC